TATGTGTTAATTTCAGTGTTTAAAAGCAATAGACATGTATGTCAGTAATATTGTTTAACTGACATTACTGTGACAAGTTCACCACTGAAATTATTGCCGGTGAAACTATACAAATTTCAACAAAAATTATTGCAACGCAGTAGGACCAAAGTCATAAATATATTGCATTTATCCACATCTTGCTGTTAATGAACATCAAAGACAAATTACATAAATAAATAAAACTGAATAATTAAGTGAACCATGAATAAAATTCTGAATAAATTATTCACAACCAAAGTAGATTAAAAAAATGTTTGAATATTTTAAAAATGTATCAACCTTAAATGGCTAAGAAAAATAGTGTGAAAAATCCTCCCAAATGCCACTCTATGTAAGCCTTATGTTGCAATAGCAAAATTTCATTTCTTTCATGATAACCCATAAAAAATGCCACCACAATGAGCTTTGAAGTGTAGACCTGTCTCAACTACACTGAAACAAAGTACTGGTATTAGATTTCCTTTTAATTTTCTCATGCTTAAATAGCAATTAAACACTATATTATTAAAGCAAAAGAAAATAATCTCTGCCTAATAAGAGATGATGTCGTGTGTTTAATGAAAGGGGGACCACATTTCATCAAGTCTGTACAGGAAAAGATCAGAGGACATCTGCAATGTATGTCATCAAACAAGCCCTCAAGATCAGAGGACATCTGCAATGTATGTCATCAAACAAGCCCTCAAGATCAGGGGACATCTGCAATGTATGTCATCAAACAAGCCCTCAAGATCAGAGGACATCTGCAATGTATGTCATCAAACAAGCCCTCAAAACAAAGTTTTTTGTATTAATCCTTTAAATGCATTTTTAAATTATTTTAAATAACATTAATATTCTAATGAGCCACCTACTTTTACACAACAGATTTTTTTCACCAGTTATTTCAGGAAAACAAAATTAAATATTGCGCACCAAATGCGTTAGCAATATTTTTTTAAAAAGAATCTCATTTAGTGAAGTTATTGGGAATTTTATTTCATGTAATCAGCATGGTCATATTTCCATCAGATTTTCCTTGAGAAACAGGAAAAACTAAATTAATTGGGGGGGGGGGGCTGAAAATTCGATTAGCATGTGTTGTCATCTGAAATGAGTCTATGTGCCAAGCTACAGCTCAATAGGTTGACGGTAAGTGGGCCGATAAGCTGTATGACAATTTTCCAGCCAGCCACAAACAAAAGCAAAATTAATAAAAAGGTTTTAAAAAGAAATTAGCATAGATATGTTTGATGAATTTTTTTATACAATTTTTGGGGGGTTTTAAAAGAATTAAATTGGAGCCAAATAATTAAAAATTTATTACACTCTAAAGAAGCCTGTAATTTTTGCTTGACCTTTAACTTGGGGCAGAAGTCGTCTCCTGCAAGATCTGGCAGAGTTTTTTAAACCTTTGTTATTCTGACTTGGTGGCACTTTTGAAGACTTGGGAGAACTTTCAATATTTAATGAAGAACTTCCCCGCTTGTTGGGCTGCAACGCTGAACAACTTGCAGGGGACCTGATTAAATTTTCTTGATCTGTCGAGGAAATATGACATCTTTTACTTCCCTTTTTTTTGGGGTTCTGTTGGCCTAATTTGGATAAACATTTCCTACTGCGTGAAGTTTGACCCTCAGGCTCTGATGGACCAGAAGGGTCTGCACGTGGATGAACAATAGTTGCACTGCAAAATTATAATCATAATATATTAAAAAATCATGACTAGCAAATGCTACTAAAGCAAAATCCTTATTTTTTTTTTTTTAAATCTATAGCATATTAATTTTACCACTTTACCATACATTATAAATAATGTTTTAATACAGCCAGATATAATGATGAAGATATGAGTTACAGATTAAAAAATATGTAGCAGTGGTTATTTATTTTACACATGACTTGAAAGTCCCAAAACTTCTATTTATATCCACATTTTCAACAAGTGGGTTAATATGTGAATGTAATGGCCTTAATATATTTACCTAGGAATGACATGAACAGAGTTGAGTGTCGCTTGTGACATCATTAGATCAGTTGTGTGTTCTGGGTCAAGGTACAGAGCTGAGGACACCTGTAATAGTTTAGTGTTACATAAATAAACATTTATAAGAACTGCTCCAGCTAATTTTGGAGGACGATATTTCAATACTAGCTTAAAAATTGGGCATCACCTTTGGAAAATGTTGTAAAATCTGGACACTGACACAGACAGGATAAGTGAAAATCAGCTGTTGTACAATGCACTGCACAGTGCAGTAGGAACTAAGACAGAGCTAGGCAGTTCAGTAGGAACTAAAACAGAGAAAAGCAGTTCAGTAGGAAATTAAAACAGAGATAAGCAGTTCAGTAGGAACTAAGACAGAGATAAAACTTTTACATTAAAGTGTTTGTTTTAGCTGATTCCAAGATCATGTTAGAAAGACAGAGAGGTAATGGCACCTTTGCTCGCCGTCACTCGTATCTTTCACAGAGGATAAAATTAATAGACAGGTTTTTGTGCAGGCCGGGGCAAAATCTTTCCTCTTAGCCCCAAAACCTACTATAGATATTTCAATTCAGCAACAGCCTTTAATTTTAATGGCTTTTAGGCTCCCACCAAACAGTTAGTGAGCAATACCCTCAACTCTCCCCTGGTTGAACTTGGCAAAATCTTGAACTTCCTCTCCTCATCCCCGATGCTCTTGTCATAGACGACCTCATAAAAGATGTCTTGTCATCAAACAAGACACCAACAGTGGAACCTAGACTGAAGGATCGCTCTACATATAAACTTTTTAAGATACAGACATTTTTATGCCCCATTTTGAACTGTACATACAAACCTAGATTAGAGATATGAACCACGATGCACTGGGCTTGCCCACATGCCATACGTGTGGTGTTTGCTTGGACTATGTGGAATTTATCTTGAAACCTATGAAATAAGTGGTGTGTACAATGCATGCTAAACATACATGTGAGCAGTTTTGTTTATCCCTTTCTGTGTTTGTGTAACCAAACACTACGATTAGAGAAGACTTTTTTAAGTTTGTTTTAAATATGTGTACTGTATGTATGTTTTTCTTTTTGTGATGTCTGTGCCATGAATGACAGGTGCATGCGCGTTCTGGGTGAACAGGTCTGTGTGCGTATGGAGAGGTATATCGGGCAAGAATGCTTCAGCGTGGTGGAGCGCAAGAGAACAGTCTCTTCACTTCATGTCTTCCAATGCAGATAGATCTAAGAAAATGTTGTAATTGGTGTTAGTGTGATCTGAATAAATGTAAAATTGTCACAGGCCCAAGCGTGTATAATTACTATTATTCACATCACCAATTTAACAGAAGGTGATTTTCATACTACATTGATAGGTATCATGTAAAACCAAAGATTGGATTAAAAAATGTGTAATGGTATAAACATAATACATATTTAGTGCACTAAAAATGCTCCTGATCCATTTCTTTACATTATCTTAATTTATGTGAGAACAGTTTTTCCTTATTTGATTTTTAAAAAAAATTAATTTGAGAACGGATTAATTGATCTCCACTAACATACAAGGGGCAATTGGGTTTCCTGATAAGCACCACAGTCAGGAGCAAATTTTCTTCGTAAGTCGAGGCACCAATGTAAATGTTTTCTTTTAAATTATAAGTTCAACATTGATTTGGTCGGGAAAATTTAAAAAAAAAAAATTTTAAGTCTATTCACAATGGCAAACTTACAAAAACTTTTTGTTTCTTAGCTTTGACAAGTGGCAGTTCAGTCTCATGATCAGTGATTTCCTGCCCACTCTCTTCTTCAATATCCATTATAGCTGGAGATCTGAGATGTAGAAAAAGAAAATACATTTTAAAAAAATTTATATACAGTGGAACCCCACTATAATTTGCCCCGCCATAACGCGAATTCGGATATAATGCGGTCGTAGCATGGCTCCCAAAATTTGAAATTCATTTGCTCCATCAGGCCTAAGTTTTTGAAAATTACAAAATTATTGCATATTTTAAATTTGTACGATTTTCAATGAAATTACATCCATTATGGATGAACTGCATGCCACGATGGCACGGTAGCATACGATGTTGATGCACTTTTCATGATATAGTGATAGTCTGGTATTATCGGTCAATCTGTATTATTGTTCAAACAAAAAAAAATTGGTAAATGTTTTTAATGCACAGTAATAACCTATAAATATATTAGTCATCGATTATTTTGAATATATCTTATACTGCATTCCAGTTAATATTCATCTGATGATAAGCCAACTTTTGATCATTGTACATGTATACACGTATATGTTCTTGGAAAAAAGTGAAATATTGTAAAACCGCACATTAACGCAACCCCGCTTTTAACGCGATCCGCTTTTATGGACCCCGATCATCGCGTTATAGCGGGGTTCCACTTTATATATATATATATATATATTTATAATTTATATTTTAATGTCCCTTCAGAANTATATATATATAATATATATATATATATAATATGTATATATAATATATATATATAATATATATATATATATATATATATATATATAAATCACATCCTGTCATCTTTCCATCTTTTTAAGACGCTGGGGTAGCTATTGGCACATCAACAAATGGCAAACTAAGCCATTCCTGGAATGGCTGGCTCGGCTGCACTTATCTTAGAAGAACCTTGACTCCTTGTTAAACTGGGCATTCTGTATTAATCTTTTTGTTGCAAATAATTCTTAGTTAATGTATATATATATATTTTTTAAAGTCTTAAGAATTATTAAGAAATATTTATTAATATTATAAAAGAAGGTAGTAATAGGCAAAATTTGTAATTTGCCAGTTATAGAAATAGAGCAGCAGACAGTTCTTTAAGATTTATCTCTAGTTTATCAATAATAAAAGTATCCAGTTAAATTAAACATACTGACCGAAACTGTGTCAGCAAACATGGAAAACGAGTTGGTGTCTGAGAGGAAAACTGAATGTCATTCATCATTTGCAGGTCAAGCTCAGTTGGGCTAAGTGAAGATCGATCCAGGAAATAATGAATGACCTGCACGCAGAGTAGCCCCAGTAATGTGCTGCCCCTGTTGGTTGTCTGGAATTGAAAGATTTCTGTGAAAACTGTTAGTCCTCTTTGGTCCCTCAGTTGCCAATGTTGTTTGGTGAAATAAAAGTTAAACAACTTAATTTTTTCAATATTACTGTAATTTGTAATCCACTTTCAAAATTTATCATTTTTACTTGACTCTGGATTGCAATTTGAGGCTGCATGTTTGATAAACTATCTTAAAAGCTTTGACCTCTATGAACAACACTTGAATGAAGCAAAGAAATCTGAGAAATGCTAGTTATAAATAATAGAGGTGACCTTGAAAACTGACAATTATCTGCGTAAAGCACTACAACAGTCAAAAATGAAGAATTGCCCCAGTGTAGCTTGCAACAAGAAGTGCTGTGCACTTGCATATATTTTCTACAAGCTGATCTTAGCTTCTTACTGTAAGATAGATAAGATTTTAATGATCCAAATAAATGAAAAAATGTTTAATACAATTTTACAATGTACATATTCATTTTCAGCACATAAATAAAAATTCGTAAAATTAAAATGTACATGGATGAACATTTTTAAGCCAGAACAATTTAACACAAGACATCTGTCAATAATTCTCATGCAATAAATGACCGCCGTATGCCATGGAACTTTGTTTAATTAGTGACAATATTGACTTAAGAGTGATTATTTAGGGGTTATTTTATATCCGGGAGAGCATGCTTATAAATTCTGACAATGGGGAACAAATGAATTTTTACATCTTTAGGTCCTTAATTTCTTTGAGGGAAAGAATTCGCCCTGATCAAGCTGATGTAAGTGATCTTTGATGAAGAGACCAATCAGTGGTCACTTGGAGCTGAAATGAAAGAATTCCATCACTTACTTTCTCTGGACTTTTCTTTAATGAGTCTTCAACTTCATTGATGATCTCTTCCAAACTCTCATAAATACTCTCTGAGACGGGCTCCACAAGTTGCCTGGGAAACTTCCCACTGCTGCATCGGATCAGGTTAATCTTGATGATGTTGACAACTCTTCTGCACGCAGCTCTGAAAATAACACAACTATCTAGAGATTTGCAAGAAGCCATTCTCCATGTTTGAGATTGCTATGAAAATCCTTTCATCTTAATTTATAGGGTGGTATGCTTTGATGAAAATATAATCTTTAACTATTTAACTACCAGATTAATTTTATCTCTTAAATTCTTTAAATGAATTAACTTTCAAACTATACCAACATTACTACCAACACAATAGACAAAACAGTGTTGCCAGTGGTAGGCTAAATGCTATATTAATTTTTCTAATGCAAAATTTCATACTTGGCAATAGATTCCTATAATTATATCCCTGCTCCATAAAAGTTTGTATAATTTTCTCAATTGACCGTCCACTTCCAATATTGGATTCTTGGATAAAGATTTTAACTCATTAATCAATTTGAAATCCACACTAACCCAACTGACAGCTCTCACTTTCACTAACTATTTTTTTTTTAAATTTAGAAAAGTAAATGTCTAACTGATCAAACTGCACCTAAGTTTTGGCTCCTCTTCAATGACGGTCTGAAGTTTTTGTGTCAGTTCCAGAAGCAATCCAAGCCCCTTGACATAAACCAGCAGTGGACTGTCAGACTTCGGAGCATATCCACTGCCACCCAATTGCATCCTGACCATGTAGGAGGACAATGTCTGTTGCAAGAAGCATCATCTGATTATGATTTGATTCTTCACTTTACCACTGTCACTAATACATGACTAAGTACAATGTCACTGCTAATACATGATTTGACTAAGTACAAAGTCACTACTAATACATGACTAAGTACAATGTCCCTACTTTTACTAACAGATGACCAAGTACAATGTCACTACTAGCACATGACTAAGTACAATGTCCCTACTAACACATGACTAAGTACATTGTTACTACTAACACATGACTGAGCACAAACTCTAAAACTATACAAGTCTGAACCTATTTAATTTTTTTCAAATATATAATTATTTTGCATAACCTGATACATGGACAGTCCAAAATCTGAAGCTTCGTGTTTAAGATGTGTGAATGCCAAGTGGTCAAGGCCTCGATCAGGAATGTTAAACACCCTGGCAAGAGCGAGCTGACTTCGAGAGTTGACAAGAAGGTGAAGGTAAGACCGAAAAATGTCATGAACCAACAACTGAAATGTAAGATGAGTATTTTTGTATAAATATTTTTTTGTTGATTGCAATCTGCATAAAGGAATCACATAAGCAAAAACCAGGCAAAAGTTAGTTTGTGTTGTAGGCAAGGGATAAACTACAATGTTCACATAAATTGTTTGTAATAAGTTCTATCAAAGATTTAAGTGGGAATTAACTAAATTTAGACAAATAAAAGCAAAGGGGATATCTCCAGCTCATGCCTTTCATCCCTTAAAGGCAAGCAGGATTAGTGGCACAGCTATTGTAGGCCAAAAAAAAATTAAAGCAGATTTTTAGAATGAAGATTACATTAAATTAATTTTAATAGTCCCTTTCACCTTATAGGACCTTAAAGATTTTATTTTACACATCAAAAAATGTCTCAATCAATATCTTGTGTAAAAACTTAACAAATTTGACACAATTAACTTAACACATATACAATTTTAGAAGGAACAATAACATGTTTCTGAAAATTTTTCCAATTAAAAATTTTAATAAAATGTGTACTCTCTGACATGCTAAAAATGGCTAACAAAATAAGAATTTATGGAGCATTAAAATTCAACATTTAAAAAAAAGGAATCAGCACTCATACCTTTTGTAGTGCAGTCTTGTGGGATTGGGAACAGGGAGTTTTGGGTGTGCCGCAATTAAGAGTGGAGTTTACATCATTCGACTTTTGAATTCTTGGAGTTGTAGGTGTAAGTTGTCCAATGCAGGGAGACAAATCATGTGGTGCAATTGCATTACTTTTAGAGTCATGGTGAGAAATCTCAGCTTTGTTTATTCTTTTTAATACCTGGATAACTTTGGTCTGAGAAGTGAATTTATCATATTAAGCTTATATATTATAAAAGTGAACAAAATACAGAGCATTATTTAAGAATGAAATCTAATTAAAATAAGCAAATGGTAAAAAAAATTTGTAAATAAATTGTAATTGTTTGGTAATTAGAGAAATTATACTTTTTAAAATAAAAAAATAACAACAAAAGACAAACAAATAAAACATTTCAGTTACTTGTAATGTAAAATAATCCTCAATATCAGGTTTTAGTTGATGGATGTCATCACAAGTTTTGAATGTCAAGTGCAGCTCTGAACTCTTATTTGTTAGAGATTTAATAAAGTTTACATAGGCATCCAAGATAGAACAATGGTTGCTACTCTGCTTGTACTCAGAGTACAAGTTTAATACTGAAGTTCTGAAATCAGGTGTTAGAATATTATCTGTTGACAAGTTTTTATATTCTGAAACTGAATTTATTTGGTCATCTTTTGATATAGCATTTTCTTCTTCTGTATTCAAAGGTGATCCCTTTTTATCATTTTTTTCTTGATCATATTCGCATTGGAACTTGAGTATCTCTTGCTCTATAGTGTGAATGGTTGATTGCTTTATAACCTCTAAAAGATCTAGTACATCTTTAGAAATAGCCTCAAAATCATTACCCATCTGAAAAAAAGAGAACATTTCAAATTAAACTAACAAATCCAACTACAAAAGGTTTTTTTTTTAAAGGAAAAATTTTAAAATAAAAATCTTGGATTTTTCTACCGATTATAACATGCGGTGAACTTATTAAACACAAATGAAGAATTCATTGATGAAGAATAGATCAATTGCATACTTAACTTATTATTATTTCTGACATCATTGATAAGTTACCCTCTTATTTTTATATTTGCAGATAGCCCAGCCCTTTAGTGGCTTTAGTCACTATAGAATTTATATTTTAGTTTCCTTTCAAAGCAAACTAAATTTTACTTAGACTTAGAGTTTAGACAAGGCTTTTACAGATTGATTAGCAACAATATGTAATCTGCCTAGCTGTAATAGGGCTTGTCATTTAATGGCTGAAATCTGTTGATAGAACTGCTGCAATCACCCGGCTACTGGGGTCGGAAAAAATGTCAACACTGTTCAGTACTACTATGTTAGCGGCTAAATCAAAACTTGTTTACAACGTAGGAAAACTATATTTTACAAAATATTTTACACAACTTTTTTTTACTGATAATGCCATTACTATAATTAAGGATATACATTTTGTGAAATGGGACTTCATCATGCTTATGGCACATGTAAATTGACTCTAATTACAAGGATCATCTGAACAATATGCTGAAACACACTAATTAGTTGCCATGTTTTAAGAAATATTTGTCCGACATTCTAAAAATAGTAACGCTATGATATTTTCCGGTCTGAGAAATGACAAACCCCATTGACCATTATTAATGCTAATTAATTGTTGGTAATTTCCTTTTTAAAACTGGACTGATTTATTATTTATTTAGTGTTTTTCAAGTTTAAAACAGAAATGCTTTTTGAATTTTTTATAGATGTAAATGGTAGCTTGCTTTAACTTTAATAGAACCTTAGAAAGTTAATTGAATTCGATAAATCTGTAAAAAAAAAAAATATTATTTTTTAAAGCCATGCTTTTCTGGATTAAAAAGTTGGTTTTCTATGAATAAAAATAGTCCATAAAATATTTATTGAATAATAATTTTCAATTCACCTTTTTATTGTAACTAGCTAAACAATACTGTAAAATCTGAAGATCATCTGCTTGGGAAAGTAATGTAGTCCTTTCATTTGGAAATAGTTTGAACTCTCTGCAATTTTTCAATACAAAGACAGACAGAGCAATGTGCTTTCCTGGAATCTCTGACACACTCATGATACTGATGCAAATTTCAGGTGAAGTCTGTAAGCTGAGATCCCAACCCAAGGAACACTAGAAAGAAAGTAGAAAAGCAATAAGTAGGCCTATAAGAACGCTGAATGCACAGAGTCAGAGCTAATATTGAGTATATATTATGTTTATTTCTAATGTCGAAATTTAGGGTAGGCTGCTATATTATTAATAATATTTTTAAAAATAATAATATTAATAAAATAATATTTTATTATATGTGCATGGAACAATAAAAATGCAATAATGACAAAATGAAGGCTGCGTTCGATGACAAAAAAGACAAGGCCCCAAGTTGCCCTTGCGAAACTGTTAAACCATGAAGGCTGTTTCAAATTAACCCCAAATTCTTTCGATTTTATTTGAAGTTTATGCTCCTTAGTAGTGTAAAATAAGGTCGATATTAATAAATAGTAATAGTTATATAGACAAGTTTAGTCGTACTCTGAAGTCTGAACTCTGAACTGTTCAAATTTGTTGTCATTGATTGCCTTAAAAAGGCTAAGCAGTAAGTAACATCTCGGTACGACTCAAACCTTTGACGAAAAAAAAGAAGTTTTTTATAAAGTTTTTTTTCATTTAAATAGAGTGCATTCAGTACTATATTATATACTAAGAGTTATTAAATAGTATTTATTTCATACCGATATATGGTTTAAGCAATAAATATTTTAGTCATGTCCCCCAAAAATAATTATTATTTGTTTTCTTTGTGCTTAATTTTTTATTTTAGTATTTAAAAACTAAAAAGAGCAAAGGTTGTGCACTTTCGTTTTCTCATTGGAGACGATCCTGATTCAATAATTATTGTAATTTCTTCCAAGCCTTTTTTAAATACCATGTCAAACTTAACAGGAAAAGTTCAAACAGGTTTTAGATATTTTAAAGCTTTATATTTAAGTTAAAGTTTCATTTGATAACAATTAATAACATTATTAAGTAATATCCTAATAATAATAACTTTACTGTACTAATAAGTTACTAAACTATAAGTATAAATTATAAGTTATAAGTTAATATTAATATAATAATATAATAGTATAATAATAAGTTAGTTTAGTAGTCTGCTTAAGTCAAGTACTTGTCATAGTCATAAACTAAACTAAAATTAAAAAGTATTTATTTTTTAAAGAATAAAGATCCACTCAGTCCATCCTATAGAGCGCCCCCCTCCCTCCCCCCTCCCCCTCTCT